TCATTTCATTTCATTTATTTCAAACCTGCAGGTGTATACAAACAGGAAAAACAAAATACAAGGTCTATTGTCGCCATAGGAAAATTTGTCCTTTGCATTTGACCCATCCTGTAATACCATAGGCGTAAGAGCAGGACTTTTACCTATACCCACCACTAGGACAAAAATATGAAAAAGTAAAAAATTTTGTCCCTAGTGAACAAAAATAACAGAATAAGAGATCTTTTATTCCTCAAATTAAAAGAAATTAATAAAGTGGTTAAAATAAAGTAAATCAGACAAACACGTAAGTATTAGTAGTAGTCCAATAGCATAAATGCACTGCTAAATCTGCCCACCTCATGATGATGGTTTAACAAAAAGTAAAAAATAAGAGAAATACTTGCCAAACTTTAATGTGTGTGTATGAATATTCTTATCACAATGCAACCCATCTCTAACTTTCTCCAGCTCCGTCACTCAAAGTTGCTTATTGTTGCTCGTCCAGACAGTAAACAACACACAAGACTCCAACCACGCCGCGCGGCAAACGACCGGACATTTTCCGTTTATTTCTCCCAGATTTGTATATTGGCTCGACGCGCTGCTTTCTGTTAGCAACACATCTGCCCGTTTGGCTCTGATCATTCCGCTGTAATGACTGCATCCACGGTTGATTTTAGCCTGTATTCTACTACGGCTTTGGCACGGCTCACAGCTATTTTCACAATGATCCATATCGCGCACACACATACACACACAAATACACAAATCGGATGGGCGAATGGGCGGACCGCGGCTGTGAAGGCATAACAAGTTCAGTCTAGGGAGCTGCGTTGAGGCCGGCAAATATGAGCTCATTAAGACCGGGAGATCTCGTTTGGCGGCGGGCATTTGCGTATGTGTGTCTGCGCGCACGGCTCTACAGGTTATTATGGTAACGAGCGGCTTAGCCCGTAGGTTGGCCGTCATTAGCCATTCTAGACGCACTCAATACAATCGCATAGAAACGTCTCCTTGAAGGACAATGGCGGCAAGAAGAAAAAAACAAACTGTTATTTTTATCGTGAGTGAAATGGCTTGGCTTCGTCACAATGGCCCAAGTAAAAGATGAGTACAGCGGTAGATAATGGAAGGTTTAATTGAGCTTGATAAACAGTTATGAATTGTTTATTGAATTGTTCTCGCGCGACGCACTGGCAATTAGAAGTTGTGTGAAATTGCTAATGTCCCCAGCCATTGTTGTCACTGTCACTAGATTCCCTCTCAATTTATGTTCAGCACCTGGGCGTGAGGGGAAGGAAGCGCGCCGGTCTCCTAGAATTATAATATACAAGTGAAAGCAGTCGGCTGTAATTATTGATTGAGGATTACTTAACCAAGGATGAGTTATGATTATTAAAAGGAAAAACGTAATTCAAACATGTATTTTGTCTTTATGGACGACATGAGAGCAGGGAAAATCTTAGTTCACTTCTTTTGTTCTGTTTCAAGTTTGTATCCCGCTTTCTGAAACTTTATGAATAAAAATGTAAAGTTAAAATAGACAATATGTAATGACATTTTGTTCATGATAAACAATAACGCAAATCATTGTTGACCTTTTCTGAACAAAAGGTTATAGTGGAGTTTTGTAAATGAACAATTATATGCTTCAAATGTTCAGGCAGGTTATTCCATCAGAGAGCAGAGTGAGGCCTTCATTTAGGTTTCCAATTTGTTAGGTGATTTTTAGATGGTCTTTGCTCCATTTTTTTTAAAAAGATTTTGATCTGATGGGGCAAAAGTCAGTCAGTTGGTGGAGCAATGGTGTTGTGGGTTCGATCCTCCCACAAGACCTTCTCCACCTTGCTTGGTCGTACCACACGATAGTACAAATGACATTTGGTACTACGGTCTGGAGGTGCACTATTGAGCTCCGTGAACAGGTGGGAGGGGTTAACTCTTTTTGCAGATTGAAACGATTGAATCTGAGTTTACCGTGACGTATGTTATGCGCCCGAGTGTGTTGTTGCATTTAGCATTTAGCCTAGCCATCTCCTTTGCCGCTAACGGAGCCCGTGGGGAGTAGCGCCACAATCTTTGCCAGCAATGACTTTTGCTATACATATCTCTTGCTCCGGTCATGTCACTTTTGACATGGATAGAAAAACTCAAGTTTCAATTTCTTGATAGAACCAGACCGGAATACTTTACCTCCCATTCTTCGCCATTGCCAAACTAAAACCTGCCCGTTCGACGCAAACTCTTGACGTCACCCATCTAACTACAACACCCAACTACCGCGCTCGCTGATTGGTCGGATGGATTTCAACCGATTGTAATCGCAAACACAGGGACCAGACCCAGACGTTTGATGAAGGGAAATGATGATTGACCGGAGTGTACGGATGGCTAAGGCCAGGCTATTCTCCACCTACTCCCGCTGACGTCTGCTACTCCTTGTAGCTTGTACTGAAAATGCAATAATGTACTTTGTAAAGTTGGGCCAACATAAGAATGCAAGCGGCTCAAAGAAATTAGAATTATTAAAACCATAAAAAACATAGTCATACATAATACATACAAAGTTGTAGTAAAATGTCATATTACATTGGCTTTATTTTGTACTTGATAATAGGGATGAGATGAACTGAGGATTACATCTATGAGATAAGAGCATAAAAATATGCTTATGTTTATTTTATCTTCAAAAAAGTAATGATGACAGCAACATTAGTCACACTTTAGACCTGATAATTCTCCACTGTCTCGCTGTTTGCTGAACCCAGTTTTTGTCCAGGTTCAAAACAGGGCTGTTAGACTTTGGGCGCTTAGTCATCCAAAAATGTATTTGTTAAAACAGAAGATACAGAACAAATTAGAACTCTTGGTTTCTAGAAAATCACTACATAGTTTTCTCATATGTTACTTGTTTTGTTTAAGCTGAAATCCTCACATGTCACAGCCAGGCCCGTCGGAAGGGCTGTGCGACCTGTGCCGTCGCACAGGGCCTCGCACCACACAGGGCCTCGCAATCCTTCCTTTTTTTATTTTTTTATTAAATAAATATACTAGTTCAAGAGTCCCCAAAGGGCGGACTGCGCTCCAAATTCGGACCCCTAATCCCCTTTCTCTGGACCTCTGATTTCTTTTGTTCAAAAGTACATTATTACAAGTGAAGTCAAATTTTCACCAAAAGCAATTTGTAAACAGGCAGGCGCGAGGGCAGCTATCTACGCAGCGGGTCCTCCGAAAAAAAACTTTACGGAGCTGTCAGATAACTTTAGCAGTGTCTGAGTGAAGAAAGTAACGGGAATGAGCCCAGTGTACGGAGAGATGGATACTCGGGTCTTCCGTGTGAGGAGGAGGAGAGAGGAGTGTGACCAGAGGAGGAAGAGGAGGAGCTGCGAGACAGGTGTGTGAGCGCTGTTATTGTCAATGTTGAGCCCGAATATCCACATCAAAAACATATTATAAAAGCATTAGCAAACACTCTATGTCCAACGTTCATGCTACTGTGAGTGCAGTGGATTTTGGGCATAAAAATGTGGTCAGAGTGTGTGGAGGAGGAGGAGCAGGAGAAGGAGCGTATGTTGTGAGTGTGGACGCATGGCAAAAACGTTATTTGATGAGGAAAAAAATAACAAATATTGACTCCGCCTCATAGCCATTTTGGCGCATTTTGCCGTAATCTAACAATTAGAAAAAGAAGAAGACTCCTTTTGGTTCAATCTTTTGAGTTGCTGCCATTTTGCCACAGGACGAAAGAGCCATGTCAGCTAAAAAGACCGCGACCAATATACCAATTCCAAGCGCGGTAACAGTTTGTGTGTGGGTGCGTGCGTGTGTGCGTGCGACGCTGCATTGGAGCGAGGACACACGTCTGCGCGCGTGCTGATCTCTTCACGCACAGCGCGAGGCGGTGCTGAATTCATGTCAAATATTATAACATGAAAAACTTTCCTGAGATCTGGGAAAAAGGTGTCAGGGCAGGGCCTCGCGTTTCAAGTTCGCACAGGGCCTCGTAACCCCCTTGCAACAGGCCTGGTCACAGCTTTGGGGAATTTTGCATTAAAGTCTCTTTTTAGTCGACTAATAGAGGAACCACACATTTCTTTGGTCCACCACAGACACAGCAGTAAAGTAAGTAAGTAAGTAAGTAATCTTTATTTATATACCGTCTTTCACAGACCAGAGTCACAAAGCGGTTTACACTTTTTATTTTTGGGCATTTGTCTCTCACTCCACACAGAGATGGGAGCGGGGTCGCCGAACAGGAGGCACATGCCAGACCTATTGTACATATTTTTAGTGGTAGGGGAAACCGGAGTACCCGGAGGAAACCGGAGTACCCGGAGGAAACCTACGCAGACACAGGGAGAACATGCAAACTCCACTCAGAAAGGCCCTGATCCTACTGGGATTCGAACCCATGATCTTCTTGCTAAACACCAAAAAAGAATCACAAGATCATTTGTGTGTCTGTTCCTGTAGAGGTTCTAAAAGAGTCTGGAATAAAGGTGAACTCAAAGTGTTTAATTGATTCATTTTCTTCTTTCTACATTTTTTACTGCCATAGCTCATGACCATATATATGATACAGAGCAAAAATCTGTTGTTGGCAAATTCAACAATTTTGTATAATCTGAGATGACTGATGTTTGGAACAAGTGTAACGCTAGGCTAGTAGCGGAGTGAACAATTAGGTTGACCAGAAGTAGATTCGGCCAAGGAGCCAGGGTGTGTGAATGAAACAGACAAAATCAATTGCGCTTTTAGAAAAGTATATATATATATATATTGATTGAAGTCACAGATTCTATAAATATAGGCGAGGTATGCGATAACGATAGTATATTATTTACATGTGTTGCTATAAATAGGGCAGATATAAGGAAATATTTGTAATACAAAAACAAAACACAAAAAACAAAAAGTGTCCTTTGGTAGGTCAGTTCAAATCAGTTATGGTGGGCTCATAACTGTACTTTAAGTTCCTTTTAGAGTCTTTAGAGTTCCTTTTTGGGATTCAGAAAAGTTCAAGTATGCAAGATCCTACCACTCAGGTAGAACAATAGCTCGCCATCAGAAGGTGATTGCAGTTGGTCGAAGAGCCGTTGCAATAATCCAACGTGAAACAAAAGCCTGACCTGGAAAGGTCAAAACAAACAAAAACACAAAATAAGCATTTGTATAAATAAACTATTCTACTGAAAAGGTACATGATGTACATGTGGAATGTACATAGAAGAGTAAATGTAGATACATATTTCCATATGTAACTGTTCAAAAAAAAAGTACATATTTTATGTAAAATATGCTAAAGTTATATTATTTATAACCAAAGTCAAATCATAAATCAACCACTAAATAGCTGATCAATATCATAAAGGTTCTTCGATTCAGGAACCTACATCTCAAAACAAGTGCACTTTAATTCAGTTTGATTCATTAAATACATACTCAAGTAATTCATTAAATACTCTGATTATATTAGATTATTTGAGCAGAGATAAAAAAATAGTACTCAAATACTCAAGCAGAGTCAGTCAAGTTGCGCAACGATCAAAAATAAACACGTAGCTACGTTAAAAATATCAAATTAACAAAGGATGGAAACCTGTTGCCGCGTTACTACAGTACGGCAAGGTTTCCACACGTAGTCAGAACTAAAAATAGCTCAATCTAAATGCTGGACGCGTGCCTCGCGGACGCATGTAAAACAGGGACAATAGTGACCGTGTGTAAATGGAGTTTTGAATAGGAGCGGCAGCGAGGTTACCACCAAACAAAACTGAACATTATCATATAACGTAAGATCACTCGCTAAACACAAAAGAGACAACCCGAACTGCTGTAAAGTAACTCACCATTGAAGGTACAGAGTCAGATTCGAAGTGGGATGATGTCAGGCCGAGTAGTTTGTTGGGTTTGTTAGCCCCGCTAACAAACACTGGCTGATACTCTGAAAGTTACGCGATCATGAGCGCTCACAAAGATATGCAGCACATAATACGACCACAACTTGTATATGGACTCACCCTGGATCGGAGATTCAACGTAAAAGATAATATGAGGCAAAATCAGCGCGGTAAAAGGCAATAAACGCCGAGAAGCCAGACGCACGCCACAGTCACAGAGAGCCGTCAAGGAAGGGGCGGGGGGAATGACCTGGTATGACCCCGCAGGTTAGAGGGAAGCAGCGCTGACGCTGTATGCATTTATTGGGCCGCAATATTCATAAAATATTATTAATGTTGGGCAGCCATAATAAATATAAAAATATCATGTTAGGAAATACGGGTTACACAAGCTCATACAAAAGTAAATTAAATCTATGTGGCTACAGTGTGTTGTCCCAAGATCTTGTCACATCTTTACATTACTGTATAATATTAGAGAAAACAAGCTCTACACGGTGCATCCATCTGCCCTGGGGCTGAATTTACTGAATGTGGACGACGTCATTCTGTGCCATCAGCTCCATAAGGCACATTCACATGGGAATTTTGGCTGTATTCATTACGAGTAACATCTACTGAACCACCAACCTTTGCTCCAATAGAATGTCACTCCCAATGAGTTCATATCACATCTATTCACTGATTCAAGTAAATCATTTCTTCCTGCTTTGAAGTCCTTGAGTTAAAAGATAGAATATTATAATCTGAATTGCTCAAGAGCCGGAGGACTGTTTTGCGAATGTTTGTTTATGTTTTTTCGTGAGACGGCGCGTTTGCAAATGAGAGCTGAGTCTCGAGGGTCTTCCCGGACTAACTAAAGGGAATTATAGAAACACATGGATACGAATTCTATTAGACCCAAGACTTCCCATTATACACACTTACAGTAACTGAACAGACCCCTAACAGTACAGTATGGCTCCGTGTAAGTTTTAAAAGGAAAACTCTTTCACGCCGGATGGTGAATAGTTTGTAATTGTGATAAAGGTCCACACAGCTAATAGCCCAATACATGTCTATTCTCTATACCTAAATGCCAGATCCTAGAAGTAGGAGGACTTGGAACTCAGCCTAAAGTATCATATCTCAGAGTGGCAACAAATCCTATTTCTGCAGCAAATTCAACTTCAACAACACACTTCACCTGTCAAAACCAATTATACAAATTGCTGCTTCATTATTTGAATAAAAATTATTTATAAACGTGGAGAGTATCTATGAAATACATGATTATCCATAAAGAGAAACAGGTTTTGTTAAAAGCCAACGAGTGGTTCTTTTTCAATCATATTGAAAATGGTAGCTTTGTGTTGTTCTCAAAGCCACAACTTTCTTCAAGGTAATTTAAAGGAGACGTAATATCACATAAAATAGATATGAATACCAATCTTAATACAATTCTAATAAATACATTCACACTATAGCTTTTTAACAGTGCAGATTATCAATAAGTTTCCAGAGACATGATGTTGCAAAGTGACAGAAGTATTTTTTTTATTTAACCTTTATTTAACCAGGAAAAAATACATAAAATAATAAGTAGGAAGTAACAATCGTTCATATATATATTTATCGCCGTTTCTTATTTTTTGATTTATTTTTCCTGCTTGGGTCTTTGTTGATGGTTATTCCTAACATCTTGTATATTCTCACAATCAAACAAAGCTCTCACTTGTTGCCGAATGCGTTGACAGATAGTGGGTCCTCGGCAGTGCGTCAAAGCGATATTAAGATTGTGGCGGTTACCTTGATCAGCAACGCCAGGAACACTTGTGATGGAGTTGTCAGAGGAGCTGAAAGGCTGTTTCTCCTGCGGCGGATTGTTAAGAGCGCCACTTTTGATCCTGTCTGAATCCATTTGTCCATGAAAACGCTCACTCCATATTTGATCAGTGCTGACAGCGTTGTGGCGGCGAGGAGGCAAACACCATGAAACTGCGATGTTCTCATAATTAATATCGCTGAGGCACGTTAATTAAACACATTTATCAAAGTTCTTACTGGTGTTAAGTGATGCGCGTGGGATGAAACAGCGACTATGGGCCGTGGATGGAGACCGGGACACGGAAAGGATATATTTTTGTCGCTCAATTTAGAAAATTAACCCATATACGATGTAGATCCCGTCTATGCCTGTCAAAAGTATTTTTACAAGCATTTTTTAAATTCTCCAAGACAATTAAGTTTTGGATTTTCATTTTCTGTAAGCAAACATCATCATCATTTCCATAATAGGTTTGACATTTTTCTTTTTGTAGTACAATTTACAGGTGAAAATCGGAAAATCAGAATAACCTTCAAAAGTTAATTTACTTAAACTGTCCCAATTCAAATTAACAAAGAAAATAGATATGTGTACATGATAATTGGCTCACAGCTTGTAAAAAACCAAGGAAACTCTCAAGCAAATTAGAATTTGTTGAAAATGAACTGGAGAGCCATCAAAATTATAACAAACAAGTGCTTGGCCTTTAATAAGTTTATATCGTATATTGGTTTCATATTGTAAGAAATATCCATCCATCCATCCATTTTCTTCCGCCTTATTCGTTGCCGGGTCGCGGGGGCAACAGTCTAAGCAGAGACGCCCAGACTTCCCTATCCACACACACACCTCCTCCAGCTCGTCCGGGGGGACCCCAAGGCGTTCCCAGGCCAGCTGAGAGACATAGTCTCTCCAGCGTGTCCTGGGTCTTCCCCGGGGCCTCCTCCCGGTGGGACGTGCCCGGAACACCTCCCCAGGGAGGCGTCCAGGAGGCATCCTGAACAGATGCCCGAGCCACCTCAACTGGTTCCTCTCGACGTGGAGAAGCAGCGGCTCTACTCCGAGCTCCTCCCGTGTGACCGAGCTCCTCACCCTATCTCTAAGGGAGCGCCCAGCCACTCTGCGGAGGAAGCTCATTTCGACCGCTTGTATCCGCGATCTCGTTCTTTCGGTCATTACCCAAAGCTCATGACCATAGGTGAGGGAGGGACCGAAGATTGACCGGTAAATCGAGAGCTTTGCCTTTCGGCTCAGCTCCCTCTTTACCACAACGGTCCGATACAGCGACCGCATCACTGCGCACGCTGCACCGATCCACCTGTCAATCTCACGCTCCATCCTTCCCTCACTCGTGAACAAGACCCCGAGATACTTGAACTCCTCCACTTGAGGAAGGACCTCTCCACCCACCTGTAGAGGGCAAGGCACCTTTTTCCGGTCGAGCACCATGGCCTCAGATTTGGAGGTGCTGATTCTCATCCCAGCCGCTTCACACTCGGCTGCAAACCGTCCCAGTGCATGCTGCAGGTCCTGGTTCGTTGGAGCCAACAGGACAACATCGTCCGCAAACAGCAGAGATGAAATCCTGTGGTCTCCGAACCAGACCCCCTCCGGCCCCTGGCTGCGCCATTGTAAGAAATAGTTACATCAAATAACTTTTGAATGCTATTTTATTTTTTCAAGTTTCACCTCATGTATTGTAAATATTGATAGAAATAGTTCCCAGATAGTTTTAGAGTTATTGCCACGTAAGTATATAAAAAATAGAAATTGGTTTATGATGAATAAAACATTAAGATGCATACAATGAAAACAATTATTATTCCAGCTAAAATACCAATTATATATAACTAAATAAAGTAAAAGTGAGAAAATAAATGCAACACAAAGGACCACACAACTCACGCAGTGTTAAAAGCCAGTACAACCCAGAGAGAGCCATCAAAATTATAACAAACAAGGGCTTGGCCTTTAATAAGTTTATATCGTATATTGGTTTCACATTGTAAGAAATAGTTAAACAAAATAACTTTTGAATGCTATTTTATTTTTTCAAGTTTCACCTCATGTATTGTAAATATTTATAGAAATAGTTCCCAGATAGTTTTAGAGTTATTCATGCAAATTCATGCTGAACCCTGCAGAGGTTGAGTTGTCCTCCATACGAGGTTATTGTGTACAACCAACTCCATAATATTTTGGACAAAACTATTTATAAATGATTGAGCAGAAACCAAATCTAACAACCTCTGCGCTGATTGACAAGTTTGCTCAGAACTGCCTCCAGGCCATGGGAAAGAACATGAGAAAACCAATGCTGCTATTAAAAACATTTACAAACTTCTCACCCATTTGAAAGTCTCCCAGGATCCATTTGGATAGAAAATCAAGTTGAATGTGCCAGTGACACAGTTAGAGACAACATTGAAAGCATTTTAATTGGAGGAAATTCAGCCAACTAGGTTATAATTACCTTTGGCTGAGAAATTAAGATGCTTCTAAATCTAATGTATTATGTGTTTCATTGAGTCAGCCAGCAACAAGTCAAAATTGTCACATACAAAAACTGTAAAATCTATGGAAAACATCTTGGTTATTTATTTAATTCTCAACAAATCTCATGTTTTGTCGTTGCATGTCTTCTGCTGGGACTTATCCATTCGCCATAAGCACGGTAAATCCTAAAAACATTGGTGTGTGTGGCTGAAATTCCCTCCATGGAAAAATTGTCGGATTCATTCAGACTTATGTCTGCCAAAGACTAATCCATTCACCATATGGTTCAGATCTGTGTTTACTTCTGTGCCAAAAAATGAAATGAAACAGAATCAATTGTGGTTTGTGAAAAAAATATCAAAGGGAGTAAATAACTTGAAAGGAGATTTTCTACTCCCATTTGAGTTTAATTTTCATTTTGTTGAGTTGATTGCACGCACCAATCCATAAAATCTTCTAATGTTGAAGTCAATAATTCCCTTTGACTGACGTATCCAAAGTCGATGCAAGAGCGAGACAAGAGATCTTCACGTTTAACATCTGCATTTAATTATCTTTACAATCAGATACAGAATATTCAACAAAAAGTGCTCCTAAAACTATATATGTCCCTCTCTCCTGGCCCTCGGCTGACTGACTGCCAATCTCCTCCCAGCAGTTTCTATCAAAGGGTCCGATGACGTCACAGTCTGGGACTGGTCTGGCCCCTGGTCTGGACCCGGTCTTGGTCTTCCCTCTCCACCTGAGCAAACAATGCCCCCCACCACTGGGCGCCTGATTGTGTTGGACTTTTGCCCTCGTCCAGAGTGGGAGAGAGCATTTTGTTTATTCTTGGAGTCAATAATTGTCCGGTTTTGTAAGCTGGTCATCTCTATGATTCCTGAGTGCATATTCCTTTGTCCTTGGGGCTTTTCCCCGTGCACCTTCTTCAGAGGGCCTATTTTCAAAATCATTAGTATACAACATTTTAATTATGCAACAGTTTCCCTCTTTTGACCTGATTAAAAATTAGGTCACAATCCACATCGTCGTTTATCATCAATACTTGTGCTTAGTTCAGGCTTGATATCTGTGAAGAGCCAATACAGAAAGACAAACAACACACAACCACATTGAAACATTCCTTCACTAAACTCTTTGATGACCACTGCTGTCATTCTGATTCTTCTTCAACCTCGTCTGTAATGTATGCACTAAAACTATTCACTATAGTTTAAACTATTCTAATCTATTTACAAATATGTTTGCATATTTTGCTTTTATTGAGCCCTATTCTTAAACATATGTTTTTTATCTAATAAATCTATCTATACGGTGGTTTGCTGTCATTATCAGTGGCTCTGTGCCATTTTGTGGGGCTTTGCTCATTTTTCCAAACACATTTTGTTGAACCAGGAAGTGCTGTCACTTCCTTCTCTCAGACCGTTTGGGATAAATGTACATCGTTAATCAAATTGGTATTATCCGTACAGGAGCTAATCTATTTTAGCAGGTTTTTGGGGTCAGTTACTCTACCATGGTATTCGATTTTCTAATCCATATTGACAAGTCGACAGCTCTTAAAATTCTCAAAAAATACCTAAATATCTACTTTTGTGCTATACCCAAATACATTAAAATGCTTTTAAATGTTTTTGAATCTCTGTTGTTTCTAATCTATCTCATTAACTTTTGGCATTGTTAACATTCACCTATGTTTGAAACAAGCGAATTTGACAGTATCTAATAAACCTGTGCATAAACTGTAATGAACTTCATCTACCTTTGAAGTAAATACTTTTGGACATAATATGAAGGAAATGGTCTTTTTACCGTTTGATATTAACCCTGTCTAAAAATAATCTCTATTTTTTTTTTTTTTTTTTTTTTTTTTTTTTTTTGAAAGCATCTATCTATTTTACACTCTATTGTGACTCCAAATCTTGGTTGTAGTTTGAGCCAAAGCATATTCCCAATTTTTGAGTTCTGATTGTAACAATAGCATTGGCAATAGACGATTTTTTATTGGCTGGTTCTTGTTCTGCAAATCACTATTCTATGTATTGTATTTCAGACAATTCCAAAAACAACACAGTCGTTCTCCAATATTAAAGACATACATCTAAATCAAGTTGCCTGAAAGGGATTTTAACTATTTTAAAACGTTCTCTACGATTATAAGGCTATGCATTTAATTATTTAATAAACAAAAGCACATTCATGGCTTCTGTCCGCTGCTTATAACTGTTTAAAGAGTTGTCCCAAACTTAATATGTGTAAATACATCAGCTGTTTGTAATAAACAATAACATTTAACCTGTTCTCCAATGGAGCAGCTCAGAGGCTGCGTCAAGAGCAATGTTATATTTGAGCTATTTTTAGATTTAAAATTGTGTTAAAGCCTGTCGTTCTGTGTCTGCATTTTAATACTACTCTCTATAAACACATCTGCACTAGTTCCTACAGATGTGGAAAACAGAAACATCTAAAATCTGACTCCATTTGATTCCTTTTTACTTTAGTTATTAGAACAATTTGACCTTATTGATACTTATTTCCACAATAGAACTATTTTGATTATTCACTAGTCTAACTGTTATTACTATTGTTTATTCTGACACTTCAACCTATAGCTCCTCGAATCCAATGACATTATAGCTCCAGACTATTTCATTCTATTCTATTATTATCTTATTATTATATGATCTAT